TAAATTAAATATATACAATTACGTTAAAATATTGTACTGTACTTGAGTAAAATGTTGAGGTACTTGTACTTTACTGGAGTATTTAAATCTGTATTTAATAGCTTTAGTTACTTTACAGATGTGGATGAATGATGTGAAATCTAATCAAGTGTTAAATCAGACTTTAGTTCCACCTGGAGTAAATTCACAAGCTACCCTGCAGTATACAAAGTCCTTCAAACTTGAAGGACTCCAGCATGTGTCCCTTCTGAACGCTCCGTCCCCGGCAGATCTCTGTGTGCCGCTGCAGTGTCTGTTAGGCCCCGCCCCCCCGGGCCCGCACACAGAGAGACACAGGGAGATCGCTCTTCTGGAGTGAAGAGAGCGGAAATAATGATATTGCAAGTTAGAAACGTAAGATGCATTTTGACAGACAAGACGGACAATTGGGGGAAAATACCCTGCATTTTGATTGTCCGATAGTCCACCATTAACACCTTAGTCCCGTCTCGTCTCGTCAACGAAAACTAAATATACATTTCGTCAAAGTTTTCGTTATCAAGAATCTATTTTTAGCTCGTCATCGTCTCGTCTTAGTCATGTAAAAAAGGTCGTTGACGAACATTTTTCGTCATAGTTTTCGTTGACGAAATTAACACTGGTGAGTTCAGACCTGAGCAGAACCCTTAAAGGTTGGACTGACATGTGCACAATGCTGAACAATATTGTTGTACTGAGATTTTTGGGCTTTAAATCATTACCTCTGTGAATGTGGTGTTGCAGTCCCTTTTGACCCCTTGTTGGAACCACCTTTGCCCTTCCTTCCTTGCGTTCCATCTTCAGAAGTTTCCCTTGAATTTTTGTTTCCCCTCTTTTCCACTTCCTCAGAGTTCGCATGCTCACTGGGACAACATTCGTAAGAAGACATGGGATCCAATCTAAGGGTAAAATATGGGAGTCAATACATAACATATGCTATTATACTTATGTCTTCAACAGTTTTGACATTAGATGATTACCCTGTGGTCACCCTCATGAATTTCATGCTCTTCCTGGTGCTGCTACAACCCTGGTCGCCATTTTGTTTCTTCATTACAGACTGCACACCGGAATAAGATGACCTGTCTAGAAACAATCGAAATCTTTACACACACCACAATTATTATTGTGTCATATGCACTGTATTTTATCAAGTACTCCAAAGACGCAGATATCCCCTAGGCCAACCGAGGCAGGACGTACTGAGGATATATTCATTGTGCTTAATAGTTTCTTACCAATCTGAAGGCCTCATTTTGAAAAAGGGAAAGTTTCCTCTATAAACAGATGCTCCTACGATGTCACTCCATTTTAGACCCACTGCCACAGACTGGTATGTGGTACGAGACGCCCTCCGAAACCAGACATCATTCCAAACATTACAAGAGTATACCTCAAAAAGTAAACAGGCAGCGCCAAAGGCAGCCACTTCCTCTAAAGCTAAATTAAGTTTAGAGTGGGCCTTGGGAGCTTCTTTCACACAGACATATGCTTACCCACCCAATGTTTACTGTCTTCATGTATAGATTACCTTTATAACACATAGACACAGACATGTGCATATTTACCTTGCAGATTAGAGGATGCCTGTTGTTCCAACATCTGTATCATTCTTTTCACCTCTGAATTAGTGCCACTCTGCTGGAAGAATCCTGGGTTTGCTTGGTCCCACTTGGAAGAGTCATCTAAGAGTGGAGATGGACATAGAAACTCTCCGCTGACTGCAACAGAGAAAGAGTCTAATGTTGATGGTTTTTAATAGTTCCAGCACATGATACAAACATTACAAACGTTTATGTTATTATAAAATAGTGAAACAAAGTAAATAAAGGTGTTTTTGGCCAGTAGTGCCACACTGTTGTAATCAGGTGGTACACAGGATGTGATAGACTTTCGTGATCAGGATTACAATAATTCAAAGGTTTGGAAAGCTATATGGTGTGCCTTGGTTTAATGCTATTTCACTGACCTGTAAGATGTGATTAAATGAGGAGGATACGCACAATGCTTTTTGGTCACATACATTAGCAAAGAAATCTGCAATGTTACCTGATGGCTGAGGACCTAAAGGATGGACTTCTGTTTCTCCTTGTGCTGCAGTTTCGTTATTGCAGGACAGCTTGAAGTTGGCACTTCCTTGGCTACTGGGTTGTGGGACAAATCCTTCTCTCCTCTGAGGTTGGCCATCAGTCAGCAGGTCCCCATGCTCCCTGAGAAGCCATTGCATCTTCTCTATGTAATGGTTCAGCTCGGGGCCCCACTGAGACTGTGAAGATCTCTGGATCATCTGGCCAGATGCTCTGCATGAGACGGACAGATCCTGTATCCTCCCCTCCCCTACACCAATGTTCCTTGTCTTAATGGGGTCAGGTAGATGAGAGGGTCCAGAGGCCATATTCCGTGTTTTCAGCCCAATCAGGAAATGATCATTAATGTTTGTAAATCCAACACCAGCGTCTCGGGTTAACTTGGCGGCAGTCCCTGTTTTTTGGTTTAAGGCACTTCCTTGTATATTTTCAGTTCCTACACCAATAGTGCGAGTCTCTGGGGTACATTTGATGTCTTTGACCCTGTTGCCTACTGACACTGTCCTAGTAAAAGTCTGAGTGGTGTTGGTGTGCTTATCTTGGGTACTTAAGACAGTATTAGTGCTGGAGTCCGTGTTAAAGGCATGGCTGGTGTTGGTAAAGCGAGACACTGAACTGGATTCTGTGTTGGTACGCTGACAAGCTGTCTGAGGTGATGCCATGACTCCCAGATCTACTCCTCTGACTTGATCTGTGGAAATACCTTGAGACACAACTTCCTTTGCCTCGCTGACTATCACATCAACAGAACAGTCCCCACAACCCACTGAGCGATACTTAATCTGATTTTTCTTAGAACCCAGATTCTCCACTGGTATCTCAGTGTTGGTTTCTGCATCACATAACTTTATCGCATTTCCAACTCCCTGTGTGTTGGTAGAAATGTGGATCCCCACACCCTTTTCCATGGTCTCCACCCGCTCCCTGACCTCCCAGTGGCTCATGGGTTCTTCTGGTCCTGTACAAACACTCTTAAGCTCAGGCCCGTAACAAGATACTCCCACAGTCTTCACCTCTGTTTCCTTCCCTGTGCTGGCATCTTGGAGCTCTGTGTGATTTCCCACACCCTGGCTTGTGGTGTGGGGCTTTGCCTCAATGCTTTTGCTCTCAGTGCATGGTCTTGCAGAGCAGGCTTTATCAGCTCGGTTCCTTGCTCCTGCAACATGAAGCTCCAGTTTCAGACGACTCATCTCTGTCTCGAGAGCTGATTCCTTCAACTCTGCTTCCAAGTAACACATTCTCTCCTTCAAGGCACCAATTAAAAAATGTTGAGCATCAATCTCTGCTTCCCGTTCTGGGTATAGTCCAAGATTCTCTTCCGTCACTTCTGTTGCAATTGACCTCGTCTGTACCTGATCAGTGTTCACATATTTGTTTTCTTTAGTTGGTTTGGACAGGGTGATATCTATATCTTTATCAGTTACAGCTGCGACTGACTTGATAGCATTGTCATGTAGAGAGCTTTGGCCTTTTCCATGCATTGCTTGCAAATGTTTGTCCTTGATGGTTCTTTCCAATGCCTGCATCTCTTCAGTCAATTGCCTGAACTCCTTAAAATTGGTGTGGTCATTTCTCAATAATTCCTCAAGTTCTTCCTCTGTATTAATCGTGGTCTCAATGTCAGACTTTTCCATGCTATCGGCTCTCTTCCAGATCACACAATTGATGCCCTCGTTGTCACCTTGGTTCTTGAGCTGAGAGACCAGTTGCCTCTTCTCCTCCTGGAGGACTGAGATGTTTACCTGGAGGATAGGGATGATTGTCACCTGCTCCTCCAGCTCCTTCAGCCTCTGCAGAGCTACCACCATCTGGTCACGAACATGCTGCAGGTGCATGGGGCCGAGACCTGTCGCTGGTGTGGTTCTGCCAGAGCTCTGTGGACTCTGTCTTAGGCATCCTGTGCTGCCTCTAGTGCCTAAGGACGAGCTAAGGTGGACATGCATATCATCTCCAGTGCTAGTGGGCTTGTTCCCATTGATGTTCAGGTTATATGCACCCAGGCCAGTGAAGGGGGAGAGAGACCCATGGGAGCTTACCCCTCCAAAGCTGGCCAGTCGTTGACGGGGTTGGGGCTGAGGTGGAAGCTGTGTCTTAACCTCCTGTTCCAAGTGTTTTAAGGTCTCCATAATGGTATCTCCCACCACATGGCTTTGTTTTTGTGAAGGAAAAGATCTTGCAGCTGGCTGAGGCTTTGACTCTACCTGAGAGGTAGTGGGTCCTTCACCCCGTGAGGGTTTGTTATCCAATGAGGAACCATGTGGTGGAGGAAGAGGAGGTCGACGGCTGGTTGTAGATGACATGCCCAGTAGTCTTGTATCATCACTGCAAGATGATGACAATGATTCTGCAGAATACCACTGGCTGGAGGAAGCGCTGGATGATTTTTCTGCATTGTTGATGGCCACTTTTGGCCTCCTTTTAAGGCTTAGCCGCTTAATGTTGGCGTTGTTTTGGAAATGGTCCACACACTTGATGTAGTCCAAGTCCGGATGATAACTGTAGTCAATGCCCAGGCAGTTAGGAGCACACTCTTTAGTGCTTTGACCTGTGATTTAAAAATAAGTTAAAAACATTTCCTGCTTTGTCTCTTTAGTTTTTTTTAAAGTAAGTTTTGAAATAGACAATGCATTTACAAATGCAAAACTACTTATAATAAAGTTGGTAATTGTTTTAACTCCCAATACTGGGAAACACAACAATGTTTTATTAAAAATACACTTACTACTTAAAAAGCTTAATGCTATACTTCTCCCCTTAGTTTCTTTTTCTTTACTTACCTCAGTATTATATTTTCAAAAGCAACCATCGAGCGAGTCTAAAGCCTTCCTTCTATCACCTCAAGATGTTTTTGAATATAAACTCTCTGAGCCTGTCCCACAAGAAGAGGAGGGACAGAGGAGGAACTTCTAATTTTGTAGACGCTCTGTTTTCAGTAGTAATTTCTCTCTAAATGGTATGTCTCTCTACATAGACTGAACCCGCTCTATAATTACAATTCAACTCTCCCTCAAAAAGCCTGACCAGACTCTTGGCAGGTTTTCTCAACCACAGACATCTTCCAAATATTTCAGCAAGTAAACATACAAAAATGAACTGAAATCTTTTGCACTTGAAACAGGTAAAAATGCATATACAATACAATATGTTTTCTTTCTAGTTGAGAGGACTATGTGTTATAGTGTCTTTTTTATTTTTTTTATTCCAATACAACTCATTCAAATAATAGGAATAATGTGTTGTATGCATTACGAATAACATAAAACTTAGAAAATTCACATAGAGAATTAGAAATCATTCTATTTTGAAATGAGTAATAATAGTTACCTGACACATTTCTCCAAATGTAACTGCCTTGAGCCATTTGTGTGATTCCCAAAGTATCAAAAATGAAGGGAACCTTTTATATCCAGCTTGGAATTTGAATACATCTGCATAAAACAAAATAAGAAGGTTAAGCATGCTTCACTTCTTGATAATTAGCTTTTCCTGTACATGTATTGTCCTACTGCTTCCCTCATTCAATCTCTCTGTCTCTCCCAGCCTGAGTCCAGCAGTCAATAACAGCTTCCATTACAATGCTTACATATAGGAAATGCAATACCAGGCCATGACACATTATAGTTAATTCTGCAAAAAGTACAGTGAGACAAGGGCTAAGGGCTTAGTGCACAACAGTGACTCACCGCATTACAATGCCATATCATTTTCTCATCAGTAAGCAGTACCTTCAGTTCTCAGCACATTGAGGTTTTAAAGAGAGCTACTAATGCATAGTCTGTAGGCCTGTCAGTGTCTTGTAAGGTACACATTTGTATTACCTTTATAGTAAGTCAGTTACATATGCCGGTCAAAATATGAATAGTAAGGTAGTTTTGAAAATAAGATACCATGAGATAGGCAAATATAAATTAGGTTGTTCCAGCAGCAAAAGCATTACGATTCAACATAAAATATAATAAAAATAGAGCTAGAATGTCACTGTATATAAAGAATGTATACAATTATCTTAGAATACACTGCTGTCAACATCACTATGGTTTCACTTCCTGCTTTTTTATCCGGTTATCAGTACCAGTCTTCTTCAATTAAACATGAACACTGACATATAACGTTAAGAATATGCATATTATGTGTAATTTTGTAAATAAATAAATAAATTCCCACTTCACATGGAAATCAGGCTGTCTCCACACGGGCATTTTAATCTGAAGCCTGAATGAACAGATGATATCAAGCCTCAGGCAATAAATCCAATATGTTTTAACAAGCTCTATTTGGATGCAGCCACAGTGACCAAAAGTACTATTTCTGCTGCTCTCATGTTATAGAGTGACTTGGGAAAACTCATTGTAGGGAAGCAGATTGAGGTTTGCAGCTAAAGAGACAGAATAAATGCTTGGAAAAACAGAACATGGAACAAACGGATGAGGTACGAGTGGATGAGAAGGATAAAGAAAGACACAAAAAGAAATAGTATATTAGGAGTACATTTTAAGGCTTTCGCAGTCCAAATTCTCATTACATCATTCATTTACTAACCTAAAATCTCATTAAGTACTTAACTTAAATTAAGATAAAAACACACCTGGGTTACATTCACTGGTATGCAGTCAAATAGTGTAGAGCAAAATAGGGTTTAGCAAATAGGTATTATTTTCAAACCAATCTTTTCTTTGTCTTGTGAATAACTAGATACAAAAATAAGTGTGTCCCGGGCCAAAACAATCAGAAATAGCAAAGGCCTCAGAAAGTTTGACTGCAAAAACCTTAAAGGTCCCATGTCATGCTTTTCCGGTTATTACCCGTCCCCTTGTGTGTTATGAAGGTTTTTAAGCATGTAAACGGTCTGCAGAGTCACAAACCCTCAAAGTACACCCTATAAAACTCTAACACAGAAAAGACCTGTCTCTGCTGCCCAAGAACGCCTCATTGGAGCTCCAACAAGCCGTGGACAGAGAGTGAATACACATACTATACAGAGATGCTGTATGAGAAACCAATGTGAGTTTGGAAAATTGCACAATATAAATCTATTCTAGTAGACCTCAACAATGGAATTATGATCAGAAGAAATGGCCATCACATGGGACCTTTAATGACACATATATTGATATTAGGGATGGTCAGACACACATTTTGATGGGACCCACACAAGAGCAAAACAGTAGTGGATAAGAAAGAAACACCCAGTGTCATGGGCGCGGGAAGGGGGGTGCTGAGGGCGCTGCAGCACCCCCTAGCGGCAGGCAGGGGGTGCGGAGCTCCCCTGTCTGAATTATTATTTGACGGTTATTGCTGCTCCCGCTGTGCATAATCTGTGTAATATGTAGCCAATAAATTCCACATTGTTGGTAAAATTATATTTTGGCTTGCCCCGAATGTTTTTTCTGTAGCCCCGGACAATTCTACCTCAATAATATAATACATTAACTGTGCTTTACGTGAACCTCATCAAGACACTAGAAAGGACGGCAGGACTGTAATTTCCCGTGTTCAGTGAATGCAACAGAGGCAAGACACCAGACCAATCAGAGAGTTGGATGGAAATAAAAGTGTGCTTCTGTCATTCAAGCTCGCGGCTCTGTGTGTGTGCGGAAATAGCGCATTTAGTGTGTGTGAGAGAGGGGGAGAGAGAGAGAGGGACCGGTGCCAGCAGCAGGGACCGTGTTGTTAGCATCTGGTTAGCTAGCTGCACTAACGGACATACGGAGCTGTTTGTTC